AAGAAGTAACTTCTCCAAACTCTGTCTTTCAGTATCATTTCCTCCCCGATTACTGAGTTGGGAGGTCTTCAACCTCCAAATTATTATCATCATCTATATTATCCCCTTTTCAAATTCCCTATCATTCTGTGGATCAGCATTCATATCCTTACATCTGGAAATGCAAAGTAAACACTTGAAGAGGGGGTGGGGTGGGGAAAAATCATCTCCAAAAAAACAGAAAAGAAAAGAAAGAGATGAAGGGCCACACCAAAAGGTCCAGCTTTTCTTTAAAACATTTTATTCTGCATTATATCTACATGTGACATTACCATTAATAATAATTTTGCACTGTGAAGTCAATTCTGATTTATGGTGACCCTTTTCAGGGTTTTCTAGGTAAAGAGCACTCAGAAGTACCATTCCCTTCTTCTGGAGACTGTGCAGCTTTCCCAAGGCCACCCAGGCTGGCTTTTCTCCCTGGAGGCACTGTGGGGAATCGAATTCCCAATCTCTAGCTCTGCAAGCCAGATACCTAACTCACTGAACTATCCAGTCAGCATTATTATCATTACTTCCTTCTATGTAAAACAGCATTTCTCTCCCCTTTCCCCACTTTGTGGAAATAATAAATCTTTTTAATCTATGTGATCATTATATCTGCAATATCCTCTTACCATAACAATACCTAGGTCTAGTGAACCCTTGCTGTTAAGATGCGCCTTTCTTTTGAGTTGCCAGGTGTTCTGTAGTGTAGTGAACGTGCCACTAAAAATACCTTTGCAGTTTAAGATGAACAACAACTGTGTATACAGTATATGAATAAAGTTGCAGGCAGGGAGCTGAAAGTTATGAGTCATAGTCTTTTGTCTCCTGATTGTAATTCCTATTTTCATACAGTCACCTGGTTTGCACTTGAGCTGTGTGATGTGTTCCTGCTGTACACACTTTAGCTGTACTCTAAAAATAATAATAATACACTTATACAAAGGTGAATCCAGGTCACCATTGGAAAGTGAGAGTTCTGCACTTGACCAAACTCCAAATGTCAGCCTTTGCCGGCCAAAGTCTGTTAATTTCCTGCAGGCTTGTTTCTCCCAGCTGTGTACTTCAGTGGGAAGAACTTTCTCTGGAGGTGAAGCAGAAAGAAGGGCCATGAACTGTGGAGGGGGTTAGTAATGTATGATGCCAGAGATTCTTGACACTCCTCTTAGATGATACAAGATGATTTGCGGTGCAAGGGCTCAAGAGGAAATATGTTATCTGCAAATATATTGTAAATAAGCATCTTGCAAAACTTTCACTGTTCATTATCAATATGTTTGCAAACTCACGCCTCTTCACATGCATGGAGCAATTCCTCTCCCTCTGCTGCAGCCATTTGTGGTGAAAAAAAACTGCAGCTATTTGCTGTAGGAGAGGCAATTTTGATGGCAGCTACTTGGCAAATATGATCATGTCCAGGCCTTCATTTTCTCCTTGACCCCTAACAGTGGAGACAGTGAGTGCAGGAAAATGAGTGCCATGATCTAACAAGGAACCTTACAACTGAACAAAGAATTTTCAGATTTTCCCCCTTTTCATATCTTATGTGCACAAAGAATAAATACTGCACATATACATAAGGGTGTAATGGCAGGTGTATGTGCTTGTCCAGTAAAATACCTGAATTAATCCATTATCCATGGCTTTGAAGGAAGAATCTGTTCAAGTATGCACATGAAAGCACATAGATCCCCTAAGTAAGTTCATTTTTATGCTCTTAGGACAGAATCCTTTAGTTTTTGTGCCAATGTAAATGAAATGGTGAAAATCATAGCCGCAATTTGCTGCCAGGTTATGAGTTACCACTTGTATTTCTAATTCTATCCCAAGTCATACAGCAGGGGTGTGAGGACATGTACAAGGAGTGACTCATTAACTGGAGGTGGTTCTCTATTCAGAGGTATGCCCATTGCACATAATACCAATAAGATTCTAGCAATGCAATGTAAACGGTTGAAAGTTAATTCTGTAGAGAGGAGTAAGAAATGTGTTTGTGGTTCATAATTTAGTTGCTTTCTGTACATAAGAGCATTCTCCTTTTCTTTGTGCTTACTGACCATGAATAAATAGACTTGAGTTTCTGAGGGTTTTTTTCCCCCCAGCCTCCTCTAGGATCTGTTTATTTCAGTACATTCTTATACTAAGGAGTTTAGAAAAAGAGGAAAATAAACAGATCCCTTTAATGGCAGCTAGAGGAGCCCCGTATGCTGTAGTGGAAAACGTGATGGCCAAGGACTCAGGAGATTTCTGCTTGATCATGGAAACTCACTTGGGGTAGGGGTTACAGCTGGTAAAACTAATCCTTAAAATATCTCACTTATCTTGAAAGGCCTACATATTACAGTTCCTAGTCAGTTTTCTTTGTGTATTAACTGAGCTGCCTTTGCAAGTACGCTCACACATACTGGTTTACACGTAACTATTTTCCCCCCTCAGAGTCTGCCTGCAGGCTCCAACCTCAATCCCAGGGTAAATATTTTTTGCCCTAACATGAGCCAGGACAAAAGAAGTATGATTCAGTTTACTAGAAACTCTTAAACTAGCCACCTGCAGGCAGCACTTATTTACTGTGGGTAAATAATAGTGTATTTACTGTGGGCAAATAAGTAAATGTCTAATTGCAAGCTTGGTCTAAACTTTGTTAGTTGTTGGAGTTGTTTTGTTTTTAAATCTTCATGCAGATCTTTGTGATGGAACTGTGGATCTGGCTGATGACTTTATGGTTCACTGCTCTAGTTCCCCTTATCAACTGTAATCTTCTTCCTTCACAATTTTTCCAGTCAGCTTTTGTGAATCTTACACTCAACATTGCTGTCTCCTTGTGATGTTTGAAACTCTTTATTAGCCTCTGTTTGAATTGACCCATTTTTTCTTAATGTAGGGAATGTTACTGAGTACACGAGTTCTCTTGAGACCAGCAAATGGAAAGGGAAATGTAGTCTTTGCTGAGTTCACATTCTCAGGGTGAACTTTCCAACATGAGCCTTGGTGGAGCCACAAGAGACTTTCTGCAGGGATTTCCAGTTGTGGTTCAGGAAGAATTTTTTTCCTCATCCAAATAATACAAACTGGGAAAGCACTATCTTGTTGCTGGTGTGAATTACTCCCTACTGTTTAGCTGCTGCCAGAAAATAACAGATGGTGATGCCTTGGTATGTTTCATGCAAGCCTTGAAAATCAGTAGACTAGTGTTGTTGTGTAATGGGTGCAATCTGAGGGATGATTTTGAACGTTTGCCTTTGACATTACACTTGTATAAATTAAGTGCTAGCAGACATAATTGTAGCTACAGAGGGAAGAAGTTGTGAGAAGAGTCGTCCCCTTAGAAGTACAGTATTCCAGGTTCTTCCCTCTGAATTGTCTGTTTCAATCTAAAAAATATGGAAATATAGAAAGAGTGGGGAGTATTCAACCTCGTTATTCAGGCAAGAATTTTCATATTCTTCATATTCTCTGAATTGCTATAATGCACCATACACAAATCTAACTCTGAAGACTTCTCAGAAATTTCAGTTTGAAATACATCTGTTAAACTTTCTGTTAGGATGGGTCATTAGAAACATACATAACTGTTCTGCTACTTAAATCACATCAGTAGTGTAATCTGTTTTCAAGCAGAAATAGAACTAATGATGTTTGCCTTTCAAAGGCCCTTAGTGATTCAACTTACCCCAGCAAAATTTCAACTTGGAAGACTCTTTTTCTGATCTCCTTACTATCCAAAGTGATGTGGACAGTGATGGAGAGAGGAACATTTTGGTACAGTTCTCTTTGCAGGAAATGGATTTCTGTATTTTGGACATGAGGAAAAATATTTAGTCTTCTAAGCCTTTAAAGTCTGATTACAGTAACTGTTGCTTCATTCACTCTGTCTTTCTCAGACTTTCTAACTGGCCATATTTATCCGAACTTGTGTTTGTTGAAGCAAAGTTTAGCTGGGCATTTATGTGGAAGAATTAATAGGCAAGAGAAGATGCATAACTTTTTTTTAACCAGTTCTCCCATACAGATATCCCACTGGGGTCATTCTCCCAGCATTATAGCCAGACCTGCTTCCCTTGCTTGACTCAGAGGCTGGAAGTAGCGCTGACAAGTAGGTGAAGCTGGAGAATGTGCTTCTGGGAAAGGAAGAGTAAAACACCCATCTCTAACTACCACTTCACCCCTGCAAATGTTCCTGTGCAATCTTCTGGTTAGCATTCTAGGACAAATATCTTGTCTAAATGTGTAGATTTGATTACAAGGCAAGCTCAGTGAATGAGTGCAAAGGCAATGGGGAGAAGCAGATAACAATTGGACTTCTGTTATTATTACTTTTAAAATTATATTTTATATAAAAAGGTTTAAATTAAACTTGGATTTTAAATGTATGAAACTATCTGGGAATTCATGCAGTTTTGCACTGTTGATGGGCCCTGCAATGTGCTTCACATATACATACTCTCAACATGTCATTTCAAAATGCCTGGGTTTGGCCCTATAGACATTCAATGTGGTGGGTGTATTGCCTATATTGTTTTAAAGAAAAGAAGTATGTGTGAAGAATTGGTGGTCCTCGACCCCTCGTTCCAGTAAATAGTAAGGACACTGTGTACAAGGACATCCTCTCAATGCAGCAGTAATAGCAGTACTTCACCTTCAAAGATCTAGACGCACTGAATACAGACAGTATAGCCTCTCATGTGTTTGATGAATTGCAAACATCTTTCTCTAGGATTTTTTGTTTTTGAGAGATAAATATATTGTACTGCAAGGAAGAAATTAGGGCTTGAGTGAATGAGCAAAAGGAAAAGGGGGAAGACAGTGGTTGGTATTATAAATAAGACACCAATGGTCTTCTGCCTGTGATATGGATTTGCGCTATATTCTTTTTCATTTTTGATTTTTGGGAGGCTGCCTTGTATGAGTGAGTGTGATCCAGATTGTAGAGGTCTGTCTTGCTTGTTTCTGAGATGTCCTTTTTCTTTTCTTGACAGAAAACTTCAGTACAGAAGTTGGCCTCATAGAGCTGATTGGAGATCCCCCACCAGACCAGATAACCAAAGTGTATGGCCCAGACAACAGCCCTGGCTATGTGTTTGGACTGGATGCCAACACTGGACAAGTGGCACGTTACCACCTCCCTAGCCCTTTTTATAGAGACTTCTCCCTCTTGTTCCATGTGCAGCCCACGACAGATAAGGCGGGAGTGCTTTTTGCTATCACAGATGCCTCCCAGTCAATCATTTATGTCGGTGTGAAGTTATCCGAAGTGAAAGATGGGAAACAACAGATTATCTTCTATTACACGGAGCCGGGCTCTCAGAACTCCTATGCTGCTGCTACCTTCACTGTGCCTTCCCTGGTGAATCAATGGACTCGCTTTGCCATCAGTGTGGAAGATGAGGAAGTGGTTCTCTACATGGACTGTGAGGAGTCTGAGCGGGTCCATTTTGAGCGCTCACCTGATGAGATGGACTTGGAAGATGGTTCAGGGCTTTTTGTGGCACAGGCTGGAGGAGCTGATCCTGATAAATTCCAGGTAAGTATGATTATCATCGAGGAATTATTTCCAGTGAGGCAATGATTATAAATTATCATCTTCTCTCAGCGGGGAAAAAAAAAAAGGAAGAGTGGGAGTTGCCCAGCCTTGTGTGATTTACCTAAACAAATAGTGAAGAGCATAATTTTCCACTGACGTGGCCTTGGCTTAGGCTATGTCGGAGCACTTTCTCCTCAGCCTAATACTAAGTCTGCTTCATCCGCCATATTTATATCAACATACTCATTGTTCACTGCAGAGTCAGGAGGAGGCACAGAGGTATAGGGATTATGAATCATCTCACTCTGTAACACATGAATTATTGGAAGACTACCAGAGATTTCCTGAGCATTGATTTATTACGATGACTCACTGCTCTACATTATTCTGAGACCAGAGCCCCTTAATTTGCTCATTCTTTGATTTATATATTTAGGGTCCTAACCAGAGAAGAGAAGGCAGCTGGGTTTAACTGGAGCAATTTGCACGATGTTTTCTTACAGACCCAATTCATCGTACGCATCTGTGTGGTATGCAGTTGACACCTAGTAGCTTCGTTCCTGATCTTTGATATCCCCATAGAGCACCATGGATAGCACTGCTGTAGGATAGGGTTCCTTCTGTTTTCTGCTGCCAAATGTAGGTTATCCAAAATGAGTTGGAGATTCAAAACATTGCTTACCTCCTTGTTTTGCTCTGCATGTTCCATGTACAGTGGTGCCCCGCTAGACGATTACCTCGCAAAACGGTTAATTAGCTAGACAATGAGTTTTTGTGATCGCTATAGCGCTTCACAAAATGGTGTTTCCTATGGGTGATTTTCACTGGATGATGTTTCAGAGGACAGTTTGCAAGACGTTTTTTTTTTCGGGACTGTTTTTCACAAGACGGTTTTTGACAGCTGAGCCCGCGACTTGCAAAAGGATGGTTGGCAAAATGTTGTTTTTTTTCGGGACTGATTTTCACAAGACGACGTTTTTTGACAGCTGAGCCCGCGACTTGCAAAATGGGTGTTTTCGGGACCATTTTCCGCAAGACAGCGATTTTTACAGCTGATCTGCGTTTCATAAAACAGCTTCACAATGGGCGATTTTTGCAAAATGACGACGATTTTTCCCCATTGGAATGCATTAAATGGATTTCAATGAATTCCAATGGGGAACCGCATTTTGCAAGACGATGTTTTCACAAGACAGCGATTTTCACTGAACAAATTAACATTGTCTTGAGGGGCACCACTGTATACGTGTCTATATACACTTGAGAATATTTTGAAGTTTTTGGGTTGGTTTGTTTTTTCAAAACAAGCTATTGTCATTGTGAGGAATTGGTTGGGATTTTCTGCAAGTGACTAAATCAGTCAGTACATCCAACTAACTGTGGCTACTAGTTCATTGTTTCGTTTGTAGTTGGTCTTTTTGTTCGCAAAGAATGGGGTTATTATTTCTTTAATGTTTTAAGAAGCTTTTAAAATGAATCTAAATAGTCATTCCACTGTACCATCCAGAGTGAAAGTAATTAACATTTTTCATCATGAGTTCATTTCCAGACATCGGGTTAATTTGTCAGTCTAGTGACCCTCTAATTTATGCTGGGCCTCCCCACTGAGATCAAATCCATTGCTGCATTCTTCCTTTTTTGGAGGGGGTGGGTGGAAGGAGGTACAAATTCTCTGAAGCTGTTGTCTGCAGACAGAACATGGTGTATCTTTATCCAAGAAAGGTTACAGAATTAATTCCAAAATGGGGTAGCAGCATCTTTCCTTACTTCCCTACCCCATTTAGCAAAAGATGCAGATATTCTTTGAGCATCTTTTGAATGCTGCCTTCCTTACTTCCCTATCCCATTTAGCAAAAGATGCAGATATTCTTTACGCTACCTCAAACATAAAACAGAGGAAGTGTTAAAGACTGTTATGGACTACTTCACAAGAGTTGGCAGGGACTAGTGCAGATGATGAAAAGAGCAAAAGGGTGGAAACGCCAGCAAACATGGTTTTGAAATATGCAATGTTTCCAGTTTGATTGAAGCAACAGAATTGAGAAGAAACTTTGCATTTTGCACTGTCTGCAAAACAGGCTGACTGGAGCCCCACTCATTATAGTGTCTTAAGAATCCTACTTATGAATTTTTAAGTCTGGCTGTGGACGGGAAAACATTCCTCATAATAACAAGTATGAAAGTGCTCTTGACTGTGGGTCAAGAAGAGGATTAGAGCCATCCATGCCTTGCAACTGGGTCATGAGGGAGAATAAAAACACTGGCCTGGCCTGTTTTAAGTACACACAGTCTTCCTGTGTCAGCTTTAAAAGATGGTAATAACTTTTCCCGCTTGTTGGTTCAGCCAATGAGTGTTTCTCTCTTGGAGCATCTGCCTGAAAATATTATTTCAAATAATGCAGACCTGATATAAATCAAGAGTTTGCAGAATATACATTTTCCCCTCCCTCATTTTCCCTGAATGTTTGTTGTCCAGTGTTTACATTTTGACAGCTGTAGTTCTTCCTTTTGTGCAAAATTTGTCTTAGACACTCTTATCTGACTATGTGCTACCTGAGAAGGCAACTTGCACAAAAGGTAAGTTGCATAGAAAGAAAACCACTGACCTCCCAAGCTAGGAAGATTAAGAGTGGTTAGATGAAATAGAGTATCAAGTTTTCTATTTCTTTAAAAAAATGCTAGCCAATTACATTGTAAACATTGTTTTGGCTCATTCTTTGGACTTTTGGGAAAGAACGTGTTGTGCCCGAAATGTGTACAGTAGTTGTTAAGGATAAATAAATGTTAAGGAAGTGTGGATTATGAGGGATGATCCTGGATCATTAAACACATCATAACAGGCTAATGGATAGGAGATTATTTAGAGGATATTGTGGTTAAAACATTTTAATAAACACACAGTGTTTTCCTTGTTAATGCTGGAAAAACAAGTGAATGTACATTGAACATCATCTGCTTCTTGAGGTCAGAGATTTAGTACAGAAAGTAATGGCAAATCCTGACCAAAATATTATGTATACATAGACTAAACTGTTTATATGTTTAAAGATAATTTGGAAACTAAGGGTTTATACATGCATTTAAGTGTCCTTTGCGCTGGGCTGAACTAGGCAAAGTGTTGAAGAACTAAATCCCTCCTATGGAATGCACTCTGTGACCAGAAAACTGATGGAGAAATACTGAACGCAAGGGCAGTTGTGCTGCTGGTCTCTGTCTGAAGCAGCTGCATTTCACACACCCAGTTGTGAACTGGTTGCAGAAGTGGGCCCACAAATGATTGCCTGAAGGACAGACTACCTGGGGTGGTGTTGGGGGAGTGTGGAGGATAACCACCTGGTCCTGCCAGATTTTGTTTGCTTGTTTTTTACAAAAGGATTTTGACACTTCTCTTTGGGAGCTTAAAAACTGGATAAAAATTCAGAATGAGACTAAGAAGCATTGCCATGCCAGTTATTTTGAATTGGCCTCCAGAAATAACTGTTATGTGTATTATGTGCCATCCAGTCAGTCAGAACCAGTTATACCAATTCCAATAAGGGCTTTCAGGGTAGGTGAGATATTTAAAGCAAAAAGCAAAGCATGCTGCTTATATACCGCCTCATAGCGCTTCAAGCACTCTCTTGGTGGTTTACAAGTTAACTATGCAGGCTACACATTGCCCCCCCCCCCCCATGTGA